TTGCCGCTGCTATTGATGCTTCTGGAGTTAAATTCCAATTATATAAGAGTGGTATATATAATAGTAAAGAATGTTCATCAACTCAGCTTAATCATGGTGTAGCAGTAGTTGGTTATGGTACTCAAAATGGAACTGAATATTGGATTGTTAGAAATTCATGGGGAACTATTTGGGGAGATCAAGGATATGTTTTAATGTCAAGAAATAAGAATAATCAATGTGGTATTGCTTCAGGAGCTGCTTATCCAGTTGGGGTTGCTGATGCTTAAGAGATTTTGATTTAAACTTTTAGTTTATATTTTTTATATATAAATATTCATTAGTTGTGTCTTTTTTCATTTTAATATTCACTTACTAATAAATAAAAGTTAAATGAAATTTTTGAAATTGTTAAATTACAAAGATATATTTTGAAGTAATTCTAAAGATCCTTTTTTTATTGTAATTATACCATTTTCTGATGGAAGAGAAATTATTTTTTTATTAATTGCAGATCCTATACGAGAAATAGATTCTTGGTCAAACATCAACTTGTTTTTATTAAATACTTTATAAGCAATATCAATCTTACACATTCCTTTCTTTCCAGTAGTTGTTCTTGTTTGGAAAAAATATCCAAATTCAGATAGAAGATCCATTATTAAATGGAGAGTTTCAGTAATTTTGTAATTTTCTGATCTTCTTTGTGCAGTTTTTCGAGAAACTCCTTGTGATAATTCTTCTTTTAATCTTTCATTAATTCTATTATTAACCCAGTCATTAACTGCAACACAATCATCTGTTCCTCTTTGGATTTCTAAAATTCTAAGGAAAGGAAGAGTAACAACACATCTTTTATTTGGACAAATTAATTTAATAGTAAATTCTTGAGAAAGAAGAGCCAGAAAGAGACTCTCTTGTTCACTTTGATAATCTCGATTTTCTTTAAATGAATAGCAACATTTATATTCTGAAGTTTTTTTGTGAGTCTCTCTTCTATAGTGGATCATATTCATCTGGTTGATGATTTTCATTTGGTTTGGTTGATAAAATTTATAAGATTTGATCTAGTCATTTCTCTTTCATTTTCAGATAGTCCTAACATATATTGAAACGAAAGTTAATGATAAGATATGATTTGTGTTTAGTTTATTTTAATTGTTTATGCTTATTCTTATGAAACAATGCCTTTTCTGATTATTTTCATTCAAACCCCTATCTTTCTTGTTTCACTCCTCTGTAAACCACCATCCCTATAAAAATATAATGGTATTTGTGATGACGTGCTATCATTCAAAAATGTTAGCCTATATTTATTCTTCTTCGTTATGGTAGTTTGTCCCCAGCAAAAATAGTATGACTTTACTCATTTCAAAGCAAAGTGAAAATCTAACGTCCACAAAAAGTTATATCTTTTTTAAAATCCAAAAACAAAAGAGCGTTTGTTTTTTAATAAAAATAATAACTGATAAATTAGCATTTAAGGATCTACTTCCAGTTGAGGTAATATTTATCCGCCTATTTGACATTTCCTAAATTTTTGTTAAAGATATGATTCGTTCTAATTTTTTTTTAGAATAACATAATATAATTTTAATTCAAAAATGTTATTAATTACAAAAGATAAATCAATAACTCAGAGCATAAGAAAAAAAAAAAGAATGAGGAATAGAGAAATAATAATATCAAAAAAAAAAGTAAACTGAAAAATATATTTAACTTTTTATTAATGAACAAAGCATGGGATTTTTTGCAAAAAAAAATACCCTTTTTAAGAAAAAAGCCTGAACAACCTCGGACAATTATTATTCCTATTACTAAACAAAATAAAAAGTTTTGCTCTAATAAAGTTGAAAATAATAGATATACTTATTTGAACTATATTCCTAAATGTCTCTTTAATCAATTCAAATATTTCTACAACCTTTATTTCCTTATAACTGCATTATCTCAATTTGTTCCAATTCTTCAAGTTGGATATCGTTTTACTTATACAATGCCATTAGCTTTTGTTGTAATTCTTGCAATGGCAAAAGATGCATATGATGATATTCGTATTAGAATAAGAGACAAAGTTTGTTTTTTGTTAATTAAATTCATAATAATTGTATAAAACATTTTATCATTTTATCTTATTTATTAGCAAACTAATTCTCAACCATTCACTCAATTAATTGGAGGTGAACCTAAAGAAATTCAATCAAAAGACATTGTTGTTGGAAATATTCTTAAATTAAAGAAAGATGAAAGGGTACCAGCAGATTGCTTAATTTTAAGATCAACAGAAGAAAGTGGATCAATTTTCATTAGAACTGATCAATTAGATGGTGAAACTGATTGGAAATTAAGACGTGCTATTGGAGAAACACAAAAAATGGATATTCAAACAATTTGTAACTCTCAATTTGAACTTAATGTGGAAGCACCTCATGCTGATGTTTATTCTTTTCAAGGAACAATTAGAATTAATGAAGATCCTAAAATATATTCATTAAATGTTGAAAACACTGCATGGGCTAATACTATTGTTGCAAGTGATGAGATGTGTGCATTAGTTATTTATACAGGAAATGATACAAGATTAGCACGAAATAGAAAACAAAGTGGAAATGTTAAACGAGGAAAAACAGAGGATGAAGTTAATTTTCTTAGTAAGATATTATTTTGTAGTTTAATGGGATTATCAATATTAATGATCATGCCAGATTTAATCCAACATCCTAATTGGTTTATCTTAGTATCATTAACAAGATTTATGATTTTATTTTCATCTATTATTCCTATTTCAATGAGAGTTAACTTAGATATAGCTAAGATGGTATATGCATTTTTTATTAATAGAGATAAAGACATTGCTGGTGCTGAAGTTAGAAATTCCACATTACCAGAAGAATTAGGTAGAGTTGATTTTGTATTATCTGATAAAACTGGAACATTAACTAAAAATGAAATGACTTTCCAAGTATTATGTATGCAAAGTGAAACTATTCGTTCAACAAACTTTGATGATATTAAAGATGACATTAGAGAATGTCTTCAAAGTAATGAAGAAAAAGTTTTATTTAAAAAGAAGAAAAACCCAAAATTTATTATGAGATGTGTTCAAGCAATGGCTCTTTGTCATAATGTTACTCCATCATTTAATGAAAATGGTGAAAAATATTATCAAGCAAGTAGTCCAGATGAAGTTGCACTTGTCAAATTTGCAGAAAGTGTAGGAGTTGTTTTAGAAGAGCGAACCTTTAAGAAAATTGTATTAAACATGCCTATGATTGGAAATGTAGAATATGAAATATTAAATGTTTTTCCATTTAGTTCAAGTACAAAAAGAATGGGAATTATTGTACGTAATAATAAAGATAACGAAATTTATTTATTAATGAAAGGTGCTGATAATGTTATGTCAAAAATTATTAAAGACAATGAATGGTTAAGTGAAGAGTGTAATAACTTGGCACGTGAAGGATTGAGAACATTAGTATTTGGATCAAGAAAAATGAGTCAAGAAGAATATCAAGCATTTAATGAACGGTATGACCATGCTAATACATTAATGACTGGAAGAGAAGAAGAAGTCTTAAAGGTACAAGAAAGTATTGAACATGGATTAAATGCAATGTGTATTACTGGTGTAGAAGATGAACTACAAGAAGATGTTCAAAAAACACTTGAAATGTTGAAACAAGCAAATGTTAGAGTATGGATGCTTACTGGTGATAAAGTTGAGACTGCTACTTGCATTGCTAAATCTACTAAATTAGTTGATATTGATCAAGAAATTATACAGTTCTTTGCCAATAGTATTGATGAAGCAACAAGTTTAATTTTTAATAATGAAGGATCAATTGGAACAAAGGCATTAATTGTTGATGGAAATACTTTATCTTTAATGTTAAAAGAAATGAGTAAAGAATTTATCCAATTTGCATTAAAAGCACAAGCCGTTGTTTGTTGTAGATGTTTACCATCACAAAAAGCAGATATTGTTAGATTAGTAAAGTCATCAGGACTTACAACATGTGCTATTGGTGATGGAGGTAATGATGTAAGTATGATTCAAGAAGCTGATGTTGGATTAGGAATTGAAGGTAAAGAAGGTAAACAAGCATCAATGGCAGCAGATTTTAGTATTAAACAATTTAGTCATATGTTAAAATTATTGTTATGGCATGGAAGAAATTCATATATTAGAACAAGTGACTTAGCATTATTTATTATGCATAGAGGAATGATTATTTCAATTATGCAAGCAGTATTTTCAATGGTATTTTATTTCACACCAATTACCTTATTTACTGGTATTTTACTTGTTGGATATTCTACTTTTTATACTATGGCTCCAGTATTTTCATTAGTATTAGATGAACGAATTTCATTAAAAGATATTATGCAATTCCCAGTATTATATGCTGAAATGCAAAAAGGTCAAAATTTATCATTTAAAACATTTTCAGCATGGATGTTTATTAGTATATTACAAGGATCAGTTATTATGATGTTAGCAATGATATTATTTGATTCAAGCTTTGTCCATATAGTGTCTATCTCATTTACTGTATTAATTTTGATTGAATTATTAAATATTGGATTTACTATTCGAAGATGGAATTGGATTATTTTTGCTTCAGAAGCATCATCTGTATTAATGTATCTTATTTCTATTATTGTTTTAAGACCAACTTTTGAACCATCATTTGTATTCAGTCTTGGATTTTGGTGGAGAGTTGCAGTAATTACGTTGATAAATTCATTCCCATTCATTTTGAAATTCATTTATGAATTATTAAATCCACCAAAACATATGACTGTAGGACATAAAAAATTCCCTATTTCATTTGACTTGACATGTTGTTGTAATTGTCATAATATTAGAAAAAAAAACGACTACCAAGATATCAATTTTTCTGAAATATATGATAAAACAGAAACTAATGACGATAGTACTAAAGCATTAATTGATCATTTAAACTAAGTTAATAAAAAAGAATTTATTTCCTATATTTAGGTTTTTTCATTTTTTACTAATTTACTTGTAGATAATAATTTGTAAAATATAATGGAATATAATCTAACTTATCATATGTTGCAAATGAACATATGAAAGAATCTAATTTAAAACAGTATAAATAAATTGAAAGTGATTTGTAATTAATGACTGAATTGAAACTTGATAATGGTATTGAATTTATATTTGAGTTAATACAAGGAATGTGATGATTTAAATTTATAGAAAACGAAGTAATAACATCCCCTAGTCCAATTCCTAATAATTTAACAAATGCTTCTTTAGAACTCCATATAGTCCCGAATAATTGAATTTTATCATTTAATTCAATTGTAGAATCAAGTTTTTCTTTTTCATCTTTATTTAAGAATGAAGACATTGACTCTAAAACTCTAGTAAAAGGAATTTTGGTAAAAGTGTTATTAAAACCAAATCTTTTTAAATTAACTATATCAATACCAACTTCTTTTGGTCCTTCAATAAATGCAATACATTCATCATGACTCCAATTATAATGGATATTTTTATTAACAATATCGTATTTTCCATATTCATTACATTTATTATCATTGTGTGAAAGGTTATATCTCTCAAAAAATTCTTTTCTCATTCTTCTTACAAGACAATATTCTACAGCAGATGGTATCTCATAACTCTTTAATAACATTCCACATGAATCATATCCAATAAAATGACTCATTCTTTTAAACTCTTCATTTGTTAAATTTTTAATTAATGAGTTAAATTGAATTTGATTTAAACAACAAGGAAATTGGATATAAATTGAATAATCCATAATTAATTAAAAATTTTTGAGTTCGTTTTGAGTTAAAAGAAATAACAAAAATTATGAATAAATTCAATTAACATGTGCTTTCTGAGGTTTTGTTTTTAGGGATTGATAAGAAACAAAAATTAAGAAGAAAGTAAACACTAGAAATAAGACTGAAATAAAAGTATCTATGCCAAACATCGATATTACATTTTTTCCAACTGTTTCAAAACAATTTTGTTTCATCAATAACCCAATATCAGAAATACAATTTTGTCTTATATCCTTCCATCCACAACAATTAAATTGTTCTTCAATTACTTGAAGATCATATTCTTCTATTTTATCTACTTTTAATACTGTGTAATCAATACCACACATAATAGCTTGAACTGTTAACATTATGGAAATTAAAACAAATAATGATAATGATATTATTCCTGCAATTATATTCTTCTTTGCTAATGAAATAATTGTTGATACTGATGCTAAACACATTGAAATACCAATTAATATCATTAAAATTCCAATAGATAAAGGATGATGTACTGCTGGTGATAAATTATATCCTGTGTTATACCTAGTTAATCCTAACAATGCTACCATGGCTCCACAAATCTATAGAATAAATAAAAAAGCAAATAAAAAGGATTAATGACAAACAAAGTATAGAAAAAATATTAAAAGAAAACATAAGGTATTAGAAGTGTTCATTTGGGTTTAAAAAGAGAAAAACTATTTTTTTTTTATTTTTTGATATGTTTAAGATTTATTTATTAATGACAATGAGATAAATTATATATTTATAGTACATTTATTATTATTTATTGAAAAAATATATTTAACAAAATATCAAGATATAAAATCTTAATAACCAGACCCTTTGGAATGGATTCTATTACATCAAATGATTTTATAAACAATATCAAAGAACAAGTTAAAGAATTTGATTATAAACAATACCAAATGTATATTGGAATCACTGGATTTATTATTATTACCACTATTCTTCTTTTAATTCTTAGAAAGTATTTGTTTGTTTTAATTATCTCTCTTGTTTAATAACTTCAAACAAAACAACACTTAACTTCTTTTTAGGAAAAGAAGATATGAGACTCAACAATGGATCAACCAAACTATTTACTCAAGACAACCATCATTTGTATCTTTAAGTGCTTCAATTGCCTCAAATAAACAACCCATCAATGGAGAAAGACAAGTCTCAATTTGTTCAAATGGTCTTATCCCATCAGAGTCACTTCCTCAAGTATATTCTAGAGTGGAAAGAGAAGAAAATGATTTTAATAGTGGAGTTGTTGCATTTGAAAAAAAAATAGAAGAGGTTAAACAAAATGACTCAATTATTCAACAGTCTTTATTGCATCAATCAGAGCTTGAACATTCATCTCATCTTTCTCAAAGATCTAGTCTTCATAACGCTAATTAATTTATTATTTAAATTAAATGTGATATATTACATTTTCTTAGTAAAAATGTAAAACCAAAAAACTTAGAAAAAGAATAAAATAAATCAGTAAATGATTGGATTATTGATTTGTTTCTCTGTGGTTAATGCATTCAAGACTGATGTATATTATTCTATTTCAAGTGAAGAACCTGTTGAATGGAATAAAAGAGGAACAATTGAATGCAATAATTATCAATGCACATTTGAAAATGAACAAAATTTAGAATTTACAAAGGTTAGTTTTTTATTCTTTTATTATTTAGTTATGTTTAATCAATTAGAGTAATGAGTTATGGTATTATATAAAAGTAGATAACACTTTCACTTCAATCCCAATAAACAGTGTATCATCTCAAATGACTGATTCAATTCAACTTTCATTGTCTGGTGATTCAGTTGAAAATATTTATTATAGTGTTAATGGTCGATCATCAACACTAAAAACATCTGCATCATTACTACGTTCATCTGAATTCCCCAAAACTCGCCCTGAAAAAAGGCCACCACCAGAAGAAGAAAAAGGTTTCTTCGCCAAGTATTGGGTGTGGATTTTAATTGGGGTTGTTGCTCTTTATTTCTTCTCTGGATAAATAACAAAAAAAAATTTGTTATTTTATTAGTTTTTTTTTTGTTTTATAACCAAGTATCATATACTCATTCGTTCGTTATTTTTTAATTAGTCTTGACGATACAACCGTTAAGGGGTATTTCAATGTACACGTTTCAACACGGAGTAGAGTTCAAAATAACTCCAAGAAGAATATCTGATATGTTTAAACAAATAACCATATAAAGAAGGATATATGAAGATTCTGAAAACTGATGAGATAAGAATAAAATTGAATTTTTTATAGATATTAAAAATAAAATTAACTCAAATAGCGTTAGACATAATGTTGAAAGGAAAAAGTAAAAAGAATAGAGTTACATTCAAGATTTATGAAAATTTAAAAAAAACCAGTAACCGAATAAATTTTTGTTTTGAATAGAGTATATCCTTCACATTTTTTTAAACTACAGAACAATTTCTTGTGGAATTTTAATAACGAAAAAAATTAGGGAGTTGTTGCTAAAGTTTAATAAAACTTTTTATCACTTATATATTTTTACGCAGGTTAACAATTTTTTCTGTTGTAATATTTTATAAGAATAAAGAAGAACTTAGATATTAACGAATTACTTATGGAACATACAAACATCAAACAACAAAAAACTCATTCAAAAGTAATACATCCTTGGAAAAAAACTGAAGACCAACAATTACTTGAAGCTATTCAGAAATATGGAGAAGCTGATTGGAATAAAATTAAAGATGAAGTACCAACAAGAACAAAAAAACAATGTAAAGAGAGATATTTCAATCATTTATGTTCTCGAGTAATAAAAGATAAATGGACAAAAGAAGAAGATAGTCTTATTCTTAATAAAATTAATGAATATGGACATCATTGGACATTAATTAGTCAATTTATTCCAGGAAGAGCACCTAATTCTATTAAAAATAGATTTTATTCTCATTTATCTAAGATAAGAAATAAATACTTTAATAATACTAATGCATCAAATGCATTAATACTTGATTCTGAAACTAATCTTATTCAAAGTGCATTTATTCCTGCTTCATCTCATTCTTATACAGTTATTAATGTAAATTCTTTTTATTAATAAAATGATTCTTTTAATAAAAGATGTTTTTTTAATTAAACTTAAAAATTAAAACTTAAAATAAAACGAAGAAAAGATTTAAATCTAATGCTTTTGTTACGTTTCATTCTTCTGATTCTTCGATGCAATTCTAAAATGAATGATATTTGTGATGAAAACCAAAAGTGTACTTTTGTAGAAAATCGTTGCTATTTTCAATGCGAAAATGAAAATATTACTATTCTTCAGAAAATTATCCCTTTTGATAAAGTTCACAATGGACTTTGTGATTGTGAAGATGGTAGTGATGAAAATAAAAATTTTTGCACGTCAAAAATACAAGAAGCTCTTGAATTAAAATTAAAAGACTTAAAAGAAAAAAGAAAAAGTAATGAGACAATATCAGCTCAAAGAGATAAATGGACTATTAATGGGAAAGAAGAAGCTCTTAAAGGAATTAAATTATTAAATTCTATTAGTGAAGAACTAAACAAATTAAAAAATACGGATAAATACCTTGAAAAAATGAGACAAGAACGATTGATTTATTTATTAAACCAAACAGAATTGAATGAAGAAAAAAAGAAAATTAAAAAAGCACAAAATTACGTTGTTCATGATGTTATTTCATTTGGTATTGAAGAAAAGGTTAAAAATGTTTTAAGACCAATCTTTCATTTTATTAATGACTTAAATCCTGAAGCAATAAATGACCAAACTTATTGTTCTATTCGTTATAAACTAGGTAAAGTAAGATCACTTATTAAAGAAAAAGAACAACAAGTTTCTCAAAGATTTGTTTATAATTCTGCTATTATTAGTGGTGACTATTGTGTTTTTGCATTAAATAATATTTGTTTAAAGTATCAAGATTATGAACTATGCCTTGGAAAAAATTTTACAAAGAATAATCAACTCATTGGAACATACAAAGGACATTTAGGACATTCCAATATTTACATAGGTTATTCACAAGGCTATGAAGTTCGAAGTAAATTGACTGTACTTTGTGGAAAGGAAAACAGAGTTAATATCATTAATTCTATTAATTTATCTTCAATTAATGTATTTATAGAATCACCTTGTGGATGTTCAGACACAATACTATTCAAAGAGATTGACGAACAAATAAAATCAATTGAAACAATCATCAAACAACGGACAAAAAATTCACTTGAGTTAAAAGATGAAAATCATAAGAATAGTCAAAAGAAGGATGAAGAGACTATTTGAATTATTTGTTGTTTTAATTCCAGTTTGATTAACATTTGTTGTTTGACTTTTTAATGTAGAGTTTTCACAAACAAAACTACAAGCCTCATTAACAGTTTGTAATCTATCTTCAACATTTTCATACATTGTTCTCCAATGATGATTACTTGCAAGACATAAACATTTCTCTATTTCAGTTTTTGGTTTATCACAAAACTCTTCATCTTCAACAACCTTTTCTTTGCATAACACACACTGAGCAGTTTTTGAAGAAGGACAATTTGTTACATTAAAATCATATTGGACTGGTTTCCTAATATATTCAATGTTAATTTTAACATCCATCATTTTATTGGTGAGGTCTTTAGCAAATTTATTTGCTTGTTTTCTAATTCTTGTTCGTTCACTTGCTTCACCAAGAGTAAACAATAAAACAAAAAGGAAATACAAAATCATATTATGATTTTTAAGATTTTGTTTTTAAGATGAATTATTTTTTTTGTTTTTGAGATGTATTATTTTTTTTTGTTTTTTAAAATTTTTCAATTACTTTTTTATTTTATGTAATAACTTTTCTCATCATAGCTTTGACTTTTCATATAATGAAATGAAAAGACATTCCATAAACTAGGATAATATAATACTTAAGCTTTTATAAACAATAAATAAAGATAGTATTGATGAAGAGATTTACTGATGAAGAAGAATATGAAATGTTTTCTATTAAATTAAAGCATGTCAAATGTAATGATAAAAGTCAACCATTAATTGAAGAAGGGATAACATTAAAGAAGAGAGAGGAAGATATTTTTGCATTTATCCCATTTCAACATTATTTCTTAAAGCATGTCACAACTCATGATAAAAGTAAACCCCAAATACCAACTCATCTAAAGAAATTATTAAGTCTTGACCATCAAAAATTAATGAAACAAATTACTGAGAGAAGAGTGGAATAATTAACTTAATTGAAAATATATTTTTGATAAAACTCAAACTACTGTTGTTAATTTCATAATATAAAGAAAAGACATAAAATCTCATAATATTAGATGATTACGGAAATACAAAAGATAGAACAAGTCATCAGAGACAGAAAAAACAAAACACATTATGATAAACATTTATTTTGCTATTAATGATTGTTTATTTTGTGAAGAGAAATTAATTTTTATTAAAGAAGCTCTTAGTCATATGATTAAAATTCATTCATTTTTTAAATGAAAAGTCTTTTACAGACAAAGAGGGATTGCTAAGAAAGTTATATTCAATAGTAGATGTAAAATGAAGTTGTATTTAGTGTTACAAAAGTTGTTTGTTTATTGCTGATATTAAAAAAACATATGACGTTGGCTTTTGTCAACACCACCAAATACAACAACCCACAAACCAATAAACCATTCAATAATGTAAATACTAATATATAATTCAATATAAAAAAATTAAATTTAAATACACTTTTTTATAGAAAAACTCCTTACCAAAAAGGTTTATTACAAAGAAATAGACAAACAACTAAATCAAATATAAAGTCATGATGAATAACTAATGTTTTTTTAATGTTTTTTATATCAATTCAAATTGAATGATTCAATTTTGTTTTTAAAGTTCGCTAAGAAACAGACAAATTTTCTGTTTTTAAACTAGAATTAAGTCATTTTGAATAAATTTCTACCAGTTTTTTCCTTTATCAATCCTTTTTTCAAAATTTTTATTTTAGATTCATCTAAAAATAGTGAATAGAGGCGACCAAAACTGGAAAACAAACGAGTAAAAGAAAATAAGAGAAAAAGTACTAATAAAACGGGATAATTAAAAGAAAAGAAGTTCACCTACAACCATCTCATTAAATAACGCTTCAGAATGCCACGTGGACAATCAATTTAAGAGTTGAAATGAACTGTGTGTGAACAAAGTAAAGAGATGTCTGGATTTGATCTTAGTGAAGTTGCTGGCCCAGTTGCTGAAGTCATTGATGATAAAAATGAAGAAGTTGAATTTGTCGTCTTTGGTGTTCAAACTCAACCAAATAAACTTGTTGTTGATGCTAAAGGAAAGGGAGGACTTGAAGAAGTCAAAGCTGCCCTTAAGGAAGATGCTCTTCAATTTGCTTATTACAGAACAATTTCTGGTGATGAAGAATCAAAACGTGTTAAATTTGTCTTCATTTCATGGGCTGGTGAAGGAATTAAGAAACCAAAATTAAGAGCTGTTATGTCTATTCTTAAGGGTGATGTTAAGAATGTTATTAATAACTTCCATATTGAATTACATGCTACTTCATTAGATGATCTTGTCGAAGATGAAATCGCTGCTAAAATTAAGAAGGCTGGAGGAGCTGATTACTCTTTCAATACCACCTCAAATTAAACGCTTCTTTTTAACCCATTCATTAGCGTACTAATTTTCTTTTAATGTTTTCTTTTTTTAATAAAAAAAATATAATTTTTTATTACATTTAATAAAAATATTAAATTCTTTTTGTTTCATTTGTAATTTTAATAAAGAAAGTAATTTGTATTGATTTTTTATTATTAATGTGAATGTCATTTTTTATTATAATAATAAAAAATGTTATTCTTATTGAGTAAAAACCTTTCTTTATAATTCATCAATATTAAAGAATTTTGATTTGTTCTTTCTTTAAGTTTTTTAAAGACAAAAATTATAAGATAGTCAAGTTTCATTTAATAAAACTGGTAGTATTTAATTAAATGATCTCAATATTTAGTATTTATTTAACAATTAAATGATTACAAAACATTTATCAAATATTCTGAATCTTCCTAATTTTATGAAAGAATTAAATGGTAATTTACTTCTTCAACAAAAAACAGGAAATAAAAAAGAGGAACAAATTAATTTATTAAAACAAACAATAAATGCTTTATATATCTTTCCAAATGAAATTTCTAAAGATGTAGATGCATTAAAAGAGAATGTATTACCATTTGATCAAAGAGCTTCTTCAAATGGTGATGATAATAGATTAAGTGCTTTTCATTATTGTTATTTAAATTTAATTAATTTAATAAAAACAAAACATCCAAAAAAAGCATGTATTTATGCAATGAAAGAGATTAAAACATCAGAAGAATATATTGAATCATTATCTAAATTTGTGTTTGTACCATTGTTATATCAAGAAGTATTTATCTTTAGTTGTTGTGAAGAGTATTTATCTATAATTAATTTAGAGTATCAATCACCTTTATTATTTTGTCAAATACGTTCATTAGAAAATATTGGTATTGCCTTAGGTGTATATTCTCCTTCTCCAGATCTTCTGCATTGGGATGATGATTTCCCATTAAAATGCTGTCAATTAAAATTTGAGTTACCAAAATTCACACCACCTAATTTATCAAAAGCAGTTGGAGAACGTGCTTTATTTAATGAGGCAATGCTAGACAAATTAAGTTTATGTATAAAATATCTCCCAGAAGGTAATGTAAAATGTTTAATAAAAATGAAACTAGCATTATTTTATTTTCAAAATGCTAAACATGAATTAGCTTTAGAATTACTTCTTGAGATAGCAAAAGAATTTACTTTAATGAATCATTTATCAAGGTCATATTATTGTTATATACTTGCGTATCATTGTACATCTTCAATAAAAAAAAGAATATTCATTTTATTAAGATTATTGACATTATCAAAGATTGATGAAGATACTAAAATAACAATGGCAACTAATTTTAATATTACTGGACATCATTTACTTAAAACTTCTTCAATTATCAATGAATTAAAACAACTTTTCACTTCATCACAAGAAGAAACAATTAGTGCTGAAAGTATTATTACAATTTCTACTCAGCCTATATCATTAACACTAAACATTCCATTGTCGTTGGAGTGTATTATTAATAATACTGAATTAATTTTATACCCTGACCAACCAATCGTTTTGGCAATCAACTCTTCTCCTCTTTTGGTTAAAATTAAGAATGGTCCAACACTTCTTATTCCAACTCCAATTCATTCAAAAAATGAGTCTAATCAACCAATTACTATGGAATGTCATATGCCAGAATTTATTAAAGTAGACAAAGAGTGGGAAGGAAAAGTAGGAGTTAAAATTGACATGAATAAGCATGTTTCAATATTCAAAGTTAAAGGTAAAATCTTTAAAAAAACTACAACAGTAGCTTATAAATTAAAAAACTCTTACGAATCAGTAGATGGTAAAATATCAATGAAACATGGAATTATTGATATGACTTCATTTGAAGTACCATGTCAAATTGCATTATACTTACCAATTAGAGGTTTAAGTTATGAAAAAAAAGATTGCAAGTGTTTGTTTAAATGTGAAGGAGAATGGCAATGTAGTCTTGAAACTATTGCTATAGTACAAGACCCTATTTCCTTTCCTAGTGTTGTCCATCCTATTCATCAAAATCAACATTGGTGTGTTGAAATACCTATTAGTAATAAAGTAGATGGTAATATTATGATTAAAACTCTTGCACTAAGTGTTAATAATGTAATTACGAATAAACTAGAAGAGGATATTGAAGTCTATAAAAACCAAAGTTATAATTATATTATTAATAGTTGTGCAGATGGGAATCAACAATTAGATGTTGTATTTGAATATAAAGGAAAAATATACCAATATAATAATACTATAGATTTTATTAAAATACCAACATTCTATAAGGTTCAATATAAATGGGATAGTTGTGTTATTAGTAAAGGAGAATCAGTAAATGTTATTTTATCAATAACAGCAAATGAAGACAACAAACATTTATTAGTTCAAGTAGATAATAATGATTATTTTTGTGTTTGTGGATTTAATACAAGAAAAATCCAATTAGAAGTTGGTGAACAAATAACAATCAATTATCAATTTATTAGTCTTCATGCAGGAATATGTGCATTACCACAAATTAAATTTACTCGTAATGGAGTAGATTTACGAGTTGAATATGAAAATGAATTACCAAACATAACTGTATTACAAGAGAGTGAATGGTTTGATATGTTAAAAGAATGAAGACTCAGATTAAATAATTTAATTATTTCTAAGGTATCAGGAATTACTTTTTTACATTTCAGAAGATGATGTATCTTCTTGTTCTCCAAGTGCTTCAATTGTTAATAATTCAATATATTTTTTTCCTACTTTACCTGATATTACAACAAAAGTGAAATAAGTTATAATTAATAATAGTGCAACAACAAATGAAATGACTAATAAGCATGTAAAAATAATACTTACCGTTCTTGGATCGAGTAGGTTAGTTGGACAATCTGTTGAATATAACCAAATTTCAATTGTATTAAGTGACGATTGTAATCTATTATATGTCTCACTTCTCATATGTAAACTTACTTCATTTCTATCAAATAAAATTGATCCAACACTTGATATTGCAATTGGAATAACTTTGTCTACACAAATATTTCCATTATAATTTGCTTGAAGTGATAATTGATTAAGTATTTCAACTGAATGAGTAGATAAAATTTTAGGATTAGAATTTAATTCAAATTCTAATTTCACATTATTTAATTCTAAATCAATAACATTACTTGATTTACAAATAATTTGATTTGAATGAAGGAATATTGTACTATTTTCTATTCGTGATGGTAATTCTTCTTTTCTTTCTTCCTCTTCAATCAGTTTATTTGTAAGGTCATGTGATACATAGAGAGGACCTTTTCTAATTTCAATTAATGAATTATAAATACTAATGTCATGAATACACCCAGAGTCTAATCTAATGATATTATTTTCTGTTTTAGGACTTGTTTCTAATGAATAAATAAAATAATTCCCTTCTACTATAAGTTGGTTTGTTTTTTCTTTTGCAACTAAATTTGAAATATAAAGAGATGATGAACCATTTGTAGGTAATAAAGTAATGTTGCCAACTACCATATTATATATATCTGTATGTGTATATATTAATGTTGTGTTCGTATTATTTGATATTTTAAGAATTCCTATTTGACCTGATAATTCATTTAAAATAATCGGTTGAGATATATTACTTATAACAATAATACATTCTGACCCAAATGTTGGGTTAGTATTACAAGGACAACCATTGGTTAATTCCATTGTTGTCCATATTTCTGGTTGATTAAATGAATATTCTCCTTCATTTAAACCAGTTTTAATCGTACAAGTTATTGAGTTAGAAAGTATACAATAAAACCCAATAAAGAAGAGTACTTTAGAATAGCACATAATATGGACAAAAACTAGATAAACTAACATTTCTCACAATAAAAACAATAATATAAAAAAAAATATATTTTGGAGAAATACCATAATTTTTTATTAAACTATTTATTATATCACAATTCATTTACTCTAAATTGGAACTTAAACTTAAAATATCTTAAACCAAGATGGAAGAAGGAAAAATAGATATTAACAAAATTCATATGCTTCTTTACTCAAAACTTGAAAAAAGAGATAAAATTGAAAAAGAACCATTTAAACTTGTTACTAAATGTTGTGGCTGTGGTGGAGAAGCTAATGAAACAGCTGAATTAAGTGGTGAAATTGATAAACTTAAACAAGAAAATATTGATATTGTTAAGGATTATCATAAAATTTCAGTTAAACTTAGTAATGTTGAACAAGAAAAAATTGCTGTTGAACAAGAGTTAGAACAAACAAAAAATATGGTTAAATTAAAACAAGAAGAAGTTAGTGTACTTCAAACTAAGAATGATGAAGTATTGAAAGATATCCAAAGTAAAATTGAAATGATTAATGTTATTCGTCAAGAAAGTTCTGCTCATCAAATTAATAGAATTAGACTTGAAGATGATTTAAAACGATTAAATATTGAAAATCATCGAATTATGGATGAATATGCTAAATTGGAACAAGAACTAAGAGTAACAAAAGAATTATATTCTAAAATTCAAACAAACCCCTCTATTACTCAACAACCACAAGGAAATAATCCACCAACTCAATCTTATTTATCATCAAATGCTACCACTTCTTCTTTTCAAGTAAATGGAATGAATGTAAGTGCTAGCAAGTTACCTACAGAATGTAAAAGACAAATCACAGGTCATTCTAGTGATATCTTATGTTTTAGATATAATTCAAATGGTACTGTGCTTGCATCTGCCTCAGCAGATAAAACAGTAAAGTTATGGGATGTTGCAACTGGTAAAATTAAATCATCAGTTGGAGGTGTATTACAAAGTTTTACACATTTATCTTTTAGTCCAATGGGAGATATGTTACTTGCTACAAGTAATGATTCTACTGCTAAAGTATGGTATTTAGCTAACTCAAGACTAAGACACAGTTTAACTGGACATAGTGGTAAAGTAACTTGTGGAGAATTTTTTGATACTGATAAAATTATGACTGGTAGTCATGATAGAACATTAAAGACATGGGACGTTAATAAAGGTTATTGTCTTAAAACTACAGTATGTTTTTCTAGTTGTAATTGTATGATGATGGGTGGAATGGGTAATTTAGTATTAACTGGACATTGTGATAATACCATAAGATTCTGGGATATTAGAAGTAAAGAATGTATTGATATTAATAAAAATATTCATACAAGTTCTGTAAGTGATATTATCAATGTATTAGATGGGAGATATTTTGTCAGTATTGGTAAAGACAATATTATCCAATACGTTGATGGTGTAGAAAGAAAAGTTATTTCATCATTTTCTCATCCAGACTTTACAGTAACAAGCTCATCTAGAATGTGTTGCTCTCCTGATGGAAAGTATATTATTGCAGGTTCTTCAAATGGAGAAGTTTTCTGTTGGGATACTCAATCAAAGAAGTTAGAAACAGTACTAAAGCCAAAGCTAACTCAACCAACTAAGGCTGGGTGTTATGCAGTTTCATGGAATCCAGTTCAATCACAAATTGTTTCTGGACATGCCAATAAGATAGTTATATGGGAAAATTAAAACAATTTTTTATTATCATTATATAAAACATTTTTAAAGTAAAAAAAAAGAAACTTAAAAAAGAACTCATAAAGAAAAAGGAGGATAACAATATGGCAGAAGAGAAAATTGCATTAATTCAAAAGAAGTATAACGAATTAGAATATGATGATAACATATTGTATGGAGGAATTATTATTAAATATCAACATGTTTGTGAGACTGTTATTGAAGGTCAAGATTTAAATAAACAAAAGAGTGCTGTAGAAAAAATAATTGGACAACTCAAAAGAAACGAAGAAAAAGAACAAGTTAAATCGTTTGAAGGACAAACGTTTGTTTTATTAATTCTATTAAAAATAAATAATAATAATAAAATAAATTTAAATTCTTAATATGATAGAAGGACAATTTATGTATTACAAAATGGACTTATTGCAGTTATTTTAGTGTGTGATATTAGATTTCGTTTGTTACTTTATTAAAGTATTAATGAATAATTAATAATTAATCTTATAGCACCTAAATTAGCATTTGCTACAATGAAAAATATTTATTCATTCTTTTATTCTACTTTTAAAAAAACAATAGACGGTTTAAATTCACATTCATTTGTTAGTATTGAAGAATTTGATAGCTTTAGACCTAAATTACTCGATTTTATTATGAAAGCAAATAACGATGAAACTGATGAAACTCGTATTTTAAGAAAGAAAACTAAAAATTTTTATACAACAACTGAAGTTTCAGTAAGAAAGATTGGTGAACGTGGTAAAAAAGTAGCTGACCTTGAAAAACAAGCTGATACAATGAAACAGGCTTCTTCTGATTTAAGTGCATCAGCTGTTGATGTTAGAAATCTTCAACGATGTAAGTATTGGAAAAGAAAGTCTATTGTTATTATTTTATTAGTTGTTTTAGTGTTAGGTATTATTGGTATCATTATTGGAGTTTGTTTCCAATTCATTCCGAGAAGTAATAATAGCAGATAATTCTTTCATTTTTTTTTTGTTTTCATTTTATTATTATAAGTATTGTTTGAATTGAATTTCATTTTAATATTATGTTTCAAAAATTAAATAAGTCGTATTTAAATATTTTATTGTGTTGTTAGAATTAAAAGATATTTGTATTGTTTTATCATATTTATAATTATATTAACTAAAATTTAATTAAGTAATAATTATGCTTTGAAATTATTGTTGAAAATTAAAATTAATGCTTAATTCTCCTCTTGAACAATAAATTACTTTCACATTTTTTAAACAATCGTTGTTTATCCCCTTTCAACATTTCTTTGAGACTTAACTCTCTTTTATAACTTTTATCTTTTAGATAAATTTTGTATTTCTAAGTATGAACTTTATTACTGTATGTCTTTTCATTATTCACTTGAAATAAACAACCTTTTTAGGAGCCATCACTAAACTTTAACTGTTTGTATTCATAGAATAATCCCTTCACTCCTTCTTTCAACAAAATTTATAAAACATCCTAATAACCAACGCCTTAATTTTATGTCTTACAAGATAACTTACTCACTTAAACAAGAAAAAATAAAATGATAAGTTTATAGTTTTTTTATTGAATAAAATATTCATTTGAATCTGTCAACTGAGTTTTCACATAATGTTTTATCGTTTATTGGTTCTCAAATAATAATAAGATTAGATTTTATCATTTCGAAGTGATTAGCCAATTCTTCTTAAATATTAAAACTTTCTATTTCAATATTTTGTTATTATATGAAATGTTTAATGTTTTTTCTTATTTTTCTAGTTTATTCATTTTTTCTTTTGAGTATTGTTCTTAAGGTATTTTCTTCAAACAAACTCATGGTTGTTTTCATAAAATTATTTACATTTCTTTTTATTAAAATTTCTTATCTTTGTATTGTTTCGTCAGATAATCTACAATAAATATGATGAATTTTAATTATATAAACTACTAAACTATCTTTTTTGATATTTCCATTTTATTTTATCTTTTATTCTTTCCTTTTCTTTAAGTTTTTCTTCAAAACTTAATTCAAACAAAAAAGATTTAAAAAACTATTTTACAAATCAGATGAATTCTCCTTTAAATAAAAATTAGATTTTTTTATAATAATTTTTTTATTAATAATTAAAACTATTTCTTATTAAACTAATACTATTATTCCTTAATTTTTAATTAAACGTCATTGGATCTTTAAATTATTTCTAAAAATATTTATTAGTATATTTTTTTATAGAAAGTCGAACAAAAATTTATTTTTTTATTATTATTGAAGATAATAATACATTCAACTAAAAAATAATAAAAGAAAAATTAAAATTTATATTCTTTATAAAAATAGAAATCTATATTATTATAATATATTTATAAAATATTAAATTATTTATTTATAAATTTATACCTTATTGTATCGTCTTAAAGTAAAGATTTATACTTTTACATTTGTATTTGATTAGTCTAGACTGAAACTATAATAACTTATTTTTTTTAATAGAACCATTTAAATATAAGAAAAGATAAAAACTTAAATTAAAATTCTGTTAAAAAAATTTAAAATGTTAGTACTAATGAATTAAATAATTTGTAATTTAAATTAACTGAAACAACTATTATTAAAATTGTAAATACAATAAAACAAATTTTTGTTTATAAAATAAATAAAAAGAGAGTTATTCTAGTCATCTTCATAATTTGTTGTGCGAAATTATTCATACCATTATTCTTTATTATAAAATAGAATTTAAATAAATTCAATAAAATTATATAAAACTAAAAATTTATGAAAAATTAATAAAATTAGTTGTTTAATTCGTCATTATTTTAACATCAATAGTAAAGTATCGGGAAATTTTTGATACAAAAGCAAGTCAAAATAAAATAAGAAGATCTAAAAAATTTAAGTAAAAGATGTCTGTATTAAAATCTTCATTTGGAACCAGATTTGCTTTTTACTCATTAGACACTAACCGAACAGGTAAGATATCATTTGATGTATTGAACAAATATATTTATAATCTTCTAAGTATTGAAGAAGATGCTGATAAAGAATTATGTATTTTCTTATGTATGTTATGTGATGTTGATAATGATGGACTTTTATCGTATGAAGAATTTCTACATTTGTTTTATTGTTATAGTATTCATACTCAAAAGGATTTCTTTAAAATACAAGTTGATATTATTATTGCTGTTTTTATAAAATTGTCAAGAGGAACTGATAGAAAATGTCAAGGTTATGTTGAACGTGATGATTTGGTTTACGCACTAAGGAAGTTAAAGTCATACGACTTCAAAATATTAAATCAGTACGATGCTATATTTCAAAAACTTATTAATTATTGTGATAGTAAAGGTAAAGGAACTACACTTAGTGAATATGAATTTATTACCTATGTTGTAAAACCTGAATATATGAACCTTCATTATTCTTCTCATTATGAAACGTTGTTTAATAAATGGATTAAAGGTAAGAAGGACTTTATGACAAAACAAGAATTCTCAAACTATTTGAAATTTAGATTTCCTGATGGAATTGGTGTGAAAAAGTCAGATGAAATTATATTCACATTAATTGCTACTGATGATAAATTTACTAAAACTGATTTAAACATGTTTGGTAGATTAGTCTCTTTATTAAATGACCTTTGTGGTAAATCGCACTGTTTAGATAAAAATCAATGTTATGAATTATTCTTTAGACTAGTTGATGAAGACAATAGTGGTTCTATTGAAGGAGAAGAATTGACTATGATGGTAAACGCATTAAAACTTGGTCTTGTAAAGAATATAAAATTGCTTAAAGAAGTAGCTGAAGGAACTTCATTGACTAAAGAACAATTCGTTAAATATTTAACCAAATAATAAATCATATTTTTTTTAGAATAAGAAATAGTTTAATTATAATAATTTTATAGTTTAATATTATCAAATAAGAAAAAAACTAAGAAGAAATAATGGAAAAGTCAACGAAAGAAACAAATGAAGGTTATGATTTGATTGATGATGAGTATATCAAACAACATAAGTCTCAGAAAAAAGAAGAAAAAAAGCTTAAAAAAATTAAGTATTTAGAAGAAAAGAAAGAACGTCAAAATGAAAGAAGACAATTAAAACGAAAAGAGAAAAAGGAAAGAATCAAAATAATTAAAAAAGAGGCATTAGAACATCCAGAAGAAAATATTAAAATTCCCTATAGAAAGAAAAAGAGAGATATTAAAGATATAGTTTGTACTGGAAAGGTATTTATTGATTGTGACTATGAAGAACTTATGGAAGAAAAAGACATCAAATCTTTGTTTAAAGAAATTGAGATGATCTATTCATTTAATCACAAACAAGAACATCCATTTGAACTTACCATTTGTGGTGTTGGGCCGTCTCTTAAAAAATATATTGATAAACATCCTAACACACCCCAATGGAAACTAATCACTTTCACTGATAAGACAATTAACCAGCTTATTAATACCTTACATCTCCCAGTATATCTAACTGCTGAAAGTTCAGAGTCATTAAACAATATTAATGACAATGATATTTTTATCATTGGTGGGTTAGTTGACCATAAACAACATAAAGGAGTTTCACAACAAAAAGCAGAATCACTTCATTTACCAACTCTCAAACTTCCAATTGAAGAAAATATTTCTTCAATGAAAAATATAGTCATGGCAACAAATCATGTATTTGAAACGTTGTGTCGTTTTAAACAATCAAACAATTGGAAAGACTCTTTAGAAAAAAGTATTCCATCAAGATACTTTAAATAATAATACTACAACTAATTATTAATTCCTGTACGTGTCAATACCATATTTTCTTTAGTATTCTTTATACAGTGTTTTTCTCATATTTGTTTTATTTTGTCTTTATTCTTAGTTTTTCTAAAAAACCAATATTTATATAACACTCTGAACACCACTTTATTATGTTATTATTCTTTTGAATATCTTGTCTTCTCAATCTTTTGTTTTTTTCTTTAATTTCTTCTTTAGTTTTTTTAATCATCATTTTCTTAGTGGTTGAATATATTTCTTGAAGAATATTATACCACCTTTTTCTTTTACTCTCTTACTTCTTGAGAATTTCTTCATACTCTCCTTCATTCCAGTCACTTGTTATTCTTCTTTGAATAACATTTATTGTTAACCACTTATATTTGTTATTTGTATAATTATTATTATTGTATTTACATTATTTTTCGTTTTTTTTTTGTTTGTATTTTTCATATTCTAATCCATTTTTCCTTGGGACATCGTTTACCATTATTATTGTTATAATTGTTATGCTATTAACATTTCTTTTTTTTATTGTATGACATTGAATTTTTATGTATTGTTTGCTTTTCTTTACAATACCCAAAGATTTTACACAATATCTATGGCATTAAATTTTGTTGTATTTCCTGCATTGGAAAAGGGTATCCCATAAATAACATGAAATATAAAATAAATGAAATAACTATTAATTAATAATTTACTAATGTAAAAAAAATCAGATTATACACAATGAATTAACAATAACTATAAATCAAATAATAATGTTTATTTCTCATTTTGTAACCATGTCTATCTAAATTAATGAGGCAACGAAAAAAAGCAAATAATTGAAAAAGAAGAGAATGAATGATATAAAAGAATAAAAAGAAAATAAGAAGTAGAATATGATGAAGAAAGAATAAAAGTAGAAAGGAGAGAATATAAAAAGAAAGAAGATAAAGTGTAATAAAACAAAAGAGATGATAAATAAAGAAAAGAATGAAAAAAATAAAGGATGCAAATTTTATTGAAACAAATAAAAAAAGCGCAAAATTTAATGATGCAAAATTTAATGATGCAAAATATTTAGCAACATATTTTATTGATGCAAAATATTTTGAAATAAAAATAAATCATCATTTGATATTATTATATTTGATAATAAATTATATTATATATTAAATACATCATATTTCTTTATTATTTATCTTTCTTTTCTTTTTATTATTTCATATATT